ATGCTATCGATTTGTTGCTATTGTGCGTGTACTATACGAGTAGCATAAATCTACTACAATACCTATAGGAGATGTCCGATTTTTATTTCAATGTATGTTTTAGATTTTAATGATGTTCGGATGCCCAGTGGAACAAAAATTGTAGTGATTCGAATGTAACCAGAAACATTGAAACTTGTGAACAAATATGCTAAAAGCAAGATGCTAACGAGATGCTAAAAAAAATGGATTGATCATCGTTTTGTCTAAAATAGCGTCCATTTTAATGTCCATCAAAAATGATCCAGGTAATACATTAATTCATATTTGTGTCCAACATTAAATATGATATTTCATAGATCGGAATCGTCAAGAGAGAATTTGTCTATGACATTTGCTTAATGGAATCACACTGTTCTTTTGCTCCGGTAATACCGGATACAAAAAAGAGAAAGCCGCTCAGGTAGGTATAGAAAGACTTTTAGAGGAATAGTCTATACTTGTTGATTCATCATGTATATGTATTATTTCATTGATTACCCCTTCTTATATCTACCGCAATTAAAAGTGATGGTTTTACTAGTCGTTAAGAAACTATGCATGTGAAAATTCAATAATATTCGTCAATATAGTGTGACACTACTTCATACAATGGAGAAGAAAAGTGAAGAAAGACGAGAGAAAATTGTATTATTTACTGCATGATGTGTGTAGGAAAAATTGGTATAAACTTTATTTATTTAGAAGAAATGTTGAAAAAATCAGTAGAAATTATGAGAAGAAGGAGGCGAGCCCATTACATCTTAACATAAATTGACTGAAAACAGAGGACAGCACTAGAATACATGTATAAAAACAATACACGGCGACAACATTTAAGAGTGTTAGGAAAAATTGCCATACCACCTTTTTTTATATTCTCTAACAACGAAAAGACATCGGCATGTCTCACTAATTACAACTCAAATTAGAAAATGATATGAGCTTTTATTACGCTCATCTTTCATTTTGTACGCCCTTTCTTTCTTGTGTTATTTATTTCGCTTCCTCGATCTATAATATTGGTTTTCTTAACGTGAGAAGAGAAAAGAAAAAGAATTTGAAATCATAATTTACCCTAATCAATAATGAAATCAAATCATTAATACAGTTCATTTTAACTTTTTTTAAAACTATATCAATACAATATGCAAAAGGTAATTTTAATTTTAGTTATGAAGTAGTTCTACTTATAACTGTGAAATAAGTAATTTCTTATATCTTTTGAAACTTTGCACAATTCAAAAAGAAAAAACTTTAATTAGAAGGGATTTTTTTATGTATTTAAATAGAACTAGTTGATGATTATAAATCAAATAATCTTAACATTTTAATATCACTAAATTCGTCAGAGAGTAGTTTTCTAGCTACTCAAAATGTCAAACAATTTCGCTATATTTTAACATTAGGATCAAATTCACTTGAATAAAATAGAAGACGAGTTTCCCTGTAATAACTTTTCTCTTAGCTAGATAGATATTATTATAGAGTTTAGAAATTATAATTTTGTTTTAGAGCATAGAAGTGAGCTTGCCAAGTTTCACGATCCATTTCAATTAAAAGACATACTACAATATTTCGAATCATGTTAGAAAAAAGAAGATAGAAACGCCAAGGAATGTAATTGCACGACAAACTATTTTTTAAAATGTTTTGCGAAGATTTGTCTCGAGAAAATATTTAAGAAATCAGATCGATATTCCGAAAACAAATTCATATCGCCGGAAAAAAAATAAAGTTGGTTTTGAGTTGCTGAAAAGTGATTTTTCGTATTCAGCACACTCGATAACCCGAAAGATTTTCTATTTTTGGCCCGAGGTACTTCTGAAAGTTTAAGAAAAATTTTCAAACTAATATTATTTTCCCATGGAAATTTTTTTGCACCAGTTTGTTTCAAAATTTTTCTTAAACTTTCAGAAGTACCTCTGGCCAAAAATAGAAAATATTTCGGGTTATCGAGTGTGCTCAATACGAAAAGGCATTTTTCAGTAACTCAAAACTAACTTTACTTTTTTGTTTCGATATATTTCGTTCTCTTTCATGATCGTCTAAAGTGTTATCTAGAGAAATAGATTTCCTCTGAAATTCAATAGAAGTTTAAAAAACTAATACAAAGCACTTTGATTTTTCAAAAAGATGTTCTAGAAATCTTTAAAAGTAAGTGATTGCTTTTCACTAACCTTAAGTACAGAATGATTCAGTCCCGATTCGTCGACACTCACTCTCACACCGCCCCTCCCGCCTTTGAAATTCTTTGATGTATATTCTTTGAAGTGTCCGATTTGTCGACGAATCGGGACGATACCGTACAGAATCAGTTAAGCAGATAAAATAAAGTACACATCTTGACATTTTGACGTATTTTGATTATTTCAATTCTCCCATTTCTTCTTGCTTATTCAATTTTGTGTTCAAATAATATTATTGCACATAGTATAACACTACATTTGAACAATAAAATGGAAAAGAACGTATTACATTCAAGTGAGAGAAGTGTTTTTGATAAACTAAACTAATAACCCTAATAACCAGTATTTGTTAGATTTTCCGTTTGCAGTTCTTTCTTAGAGCGAATGAATGCAATAGATATATTTTTAACCGTCTCGTCTGTTTTTACCAATAAGATTTCACTTTGAAAGTTTCCCGTTAAGTTTTAGAGATAAGAAAGTTCAAGTCGTTTAATTCCGTTGACTCAAAGGGTGATCTAATGAAAGAAGGTCCATCTATATGGTAAGTAACGAATGCCGGTCACGTATTCCTTAGACAAATGCCTCCCGGACATTGGTCTCCACATTTTTTTTCTCCTAGGCAATCGGCTACTCAGAAACAAGGTATCTAGACTTTTAATCCCCTAGGACAAACGCTGTTTTAGGACTTTTGCTCGTTTAGAAGTTTTGCTTTTCAAAATATGTACGAGTATTTAACAATAATCTTTATTTTCTTCTTTTTCCTCTTTTATGAATACATTCTTGTATGGCAAAGAAAAGATTTCATAATCTATAGTAACTGACGAAGAATGATTCATGATATATTGTATAGTAAAGAGAAACTAGTTAACTAATTCGACATGCTGTACAAGAACAGAGAAAGGAAGATAAATTTACACTCTTAACTATTTTGAGAAGCAAAACTTCTAAAAGAGAAAAAGTCCTGAGAGAGGAAAAGTCCGGGCGAGCAAATGTTCGGGAGGCATTTTCTAGGGAGGGAGCATGTGATCGAGTACCGTAAGTAACGAAGTGCACAACGAGACTACTTTTTTTTACAGTGGATCGTTTTCGTTCGTGTTAATCGAAGGCTTGCTTTTCTATTTCTAGTTTTATTCTTTAATTAGTAGCTTCTCATCTAGGATGGAGCCATCTTCCGATATAAAAATATATAACTTCGACTATGTTACATAGACATGAATATGACGTATGGAGAAGCTGTGCAATACCTTGAACTTTGGAATCATAATGCCGTTCGGTGATGATTAGTCCTCTCTAAACACTCATCAATAATTATATTGAAGTGTGCTGTCAGTTATACAGCAAAAGGTATTTTACAAATTAGGTTCATAATCACATAAATCAGTATAATGACTTGAGCGCATAAAATAGAAAACCTTCGTTCCTTTTTGCGTGTCTGAATAATTTTTTGAAATAATTATTTTCTTAATATGACATTCGACTAATCGATTTTAACATTTTCTTTTTATCGAAATAGAGAAACGGAGAGAAGGAGGAGAAATTTGAATGGTAAAATGTGAGAAACAACGGATTAGAGAACTTTTGTAGCTTGCACTCACATATACACTGTCATATGTTTTTTAACATAATGTGATTAACGACTCAAAATAAAACATGTAAACTCATAACTCTTTCTCAAACATAATAGATTTTAGATTACAATATTTGTCTATAAAATAGAAATAATGAAAAAATATGCAATCTCTCTTAGAATAATCAAATACTTATGTAAGAGCGAGTTGACGATACACTTATAGTAGACCTTCTTTTAACATTGAAAAGTCTATAATAAACGAATTCTCCTATAAGATCGTAGCCGTATCTATATCACGTTTTTCTCAAAAGAAATTTCTCACACATTTCGAATTGAACAACAATTTATCATTGTTAATGAAAGTTAATGATCTATGTTTTTATTCTAAGAATTGTACGCCAACACATTCTACAAGAAAAATGATGGCTTCCAACATCACGAGTATTTCAGATGAATTATACGTTGACACTTAGATAATGACCTTTACACTTATTTGTTTTCTTTTTTTGAAAATAATTTCTATTATTTGTCATAAGGAAGAAGAAAAGAGAAAAAAACATATTTATCATCAAATTGAGTCATAACACATAATCAGACAGCTTTCTTAGCAACAAGGATGTAATTCAGAACAAGATAAAAAATTGTTTTATTAATGACCACTTTCAGTCTTATGAAGCAATTATTTTGTTAAAACTTAAGGTTTTCTTAGAGCGATGAGAAGAGAGTAGGAAGAGGTATTCAGAAAAGTCTTTAATTTTTATCGTAGATATACAATTATCACTCAAAATATGTATTAAAAAAATCACAAATGAGTAGAAAAAAAAGGCAAATGCACATTTCTTAAAGCGACTGTGTTAAACTCGTATGTTTATAGACTGTAAAATTTATGTGACGCTCCGAAAACTACATTTATTGCTTTGATTGTCCAAACGCATTTCTTTTCGAAATTGTTAACAGATTTTCGCTTCGACATCATTGCACGAATATACCAGCTTTGAACAATTGTCACTAATGTCTCTAATGAAATGAAAAAAGTATGATGCCGATTATAAAATGGGGGTAAGTGACAAAAAGTTATCTATTGCTGTGAAATTTATTTCAATAAAAACATTGATAGCTTCCGTTAGATATTTCTACTCCTTTGTTTTAGGTTTAACATGGACAAATATTTTTTATGGAGGATTTGAATCCACCTGATAAAAAAAAAAAGATATGCATTATTTTTATGCAACTGTCAATGGTAAAGTCCTGAAACTTCTTGTTTCAACCGATTGAACGCTCAAGTTGTATCGTCGTTTATCATTAATCTCGTCATAGAAATCTTCATTTGTTTGACTTCGGAGAAATGTACGTTGTAATGGAGCTGATTGAGTAGAACGATGCGGAATCACTGATCTAAAATGAAAACAAATAAATTTTAGATCGTTAGTAATTTAAAATTTAATTTAAGTTAGTAGAATATTCTGGCTGAAGTCACACGTTGTTAAGGTAAATACAGCTCTATAGAATCTCTTCTTTCTAAATGGGAAGATTCTACAATCTGTATACATATAAAAAACGTTTTTTACATATATACTACCAATCTAGTTTTTTAGAATAGAAGGTAATAAATCTCTAAAAAAATGTATACATATAAATTGAGGCGACTACTATTTGACATTACATTTGCACTTTTCTTTTTACCTTGATTTGTTTCTTTCGAGCTTTCGATAAAACGATTTTGGTGCCATGAAGCCTTTTTTCTTTGGATCATCTTTCAATAAACCTTTGAGTTTATCTAATTGACTGGCTGCTAATCGTCCTTGAATAGTCATTTCAGTTCTTGGTGATGAACGTAAAAATTTCATACGTTCATCGTCAACAACAAATTGTTGTAATTTCGATAAAGATCTTGACTCCCTAAAGACAGAAAAACCGATAATAATTCGCAGTGACATTCAACTCTACGACAATAAATCCAGTGTGACACAGATAAAATAAGTAGCTAGCACTATCAATGCATACTGGTGCTCATGACATACTTTATATCAAAAGCACTGGTAAGGATTGATGCGTACACATGCCCATCCAAGAATGACGTAAATAGGGATCAAACATTAGGAGGATGTAAAACTGAATGTGTCTCCGGGGTAGTACGAATCGAATAAAGGTGGTTCCATGGAGCAGAATCTATAGAAATATCGTGTAAAAACTAATTTTTGATAGCCTTTCGCTGGAAAAAACAACAACAAAATATTTTCAGTTCTACCATCAGTGAGACGCAGTACTGATCTTGTGATTAAAAAACGTACTACACTGCTTCATTAACTTTTTGCCATATTTTCCATCTTTCTCCTATGACAGTGAAACATGTGAGTTAAAAAGCTTAATAGAACTATGTCATTTATACAGGCTAACGTTGACCAGACTTCGTCAGTTACTTTTCAGATGAACGAGGGGAATTCTCTTATCGATGGAAAGTGGATGATGGAAAAACAGCTTTAAGTTTTTGCCCAAAAGTTCGAAAAATCGTTTTGAGGAGGAGGCTGTCTCTCCCTAATCGTTGAAAGCAATAATGTCTCGCTCTGTGACTATCATCATCCTTACCTAATGAGTATACCTGGAACCAAATACTTAGTTATTTGCAAATTTTCAAAAGTACTTCATTAAGTATTTGTCAAGTGGTTCTAGATTTAATACGTACGAGTGACTTGAAACATTTCGGATACTTGCATATATTTCGCAAGTACTTACCAAGTTACCTGTCAAATACTTGACAAGGTACTTATCAAGTAGCTATATTTATTAAATTACTTCATAAGAGCCTTTTTTACTTGCAAAAAACTGCAGATTTGACACTATTTTCCTAAGTACGTGTCTAAGTACTTCTATAACGGTACACCTATTGGGTAGACCCATCTATATCTACCAATTCTGACATAACTTTTTTTGCAGTTAAACTAGTTTACCTTGATTGTTCACTGGTAATACTAGCAGTCGTATTCAATATCGGACTCGGTATATGACGTTTCCAAAGATCAAAATCATCTTTTCTCGCCATCCAAGGAAAAGATTCACGTACTTTTGTTTCATTATTATTTTGCTTATACCATGACTCTGGTGGCTAAAAAAAAGAACATTGAATATGTCCATCAAGAATACTTGTACTCTCTTACTTTTGCTAATTCGTCTAATCTTGCTGGATCGGGCGTTCTTGAATGAATATTTGAGTCCACACTTGATTTATAACCGGGGTAATGCCAATTAACATCAGCACTCATCTTTGAATCACTTCGTAATAATGATTCAAAAGTATCTTTATTTGATTGCTCCAGAACGGGCGAAAATGTTCCCGAACGATGATCTGGATTGTACGAGAACGACGAAGATCGATAATTCTATGTAGAAAGTGTAACTATATTGTCTCAAATATTGACAAGTAATTGTCATACCTCTGTAAGGTAATTCCGGATTTGATCTAGTGCTTTTTCGGTTGTGTTTAATTTTTGGGTACTGTAATGAAAAACTGGACCTTCTGCAACGAATAAAATTTGATCATTCTCTCTAATACGATGTTCTCTACAAAACAACAAATTATGTTCAGTTAATTGGGTAGGAGTCGAGAGCGAATACAATAAAAAACTAAGATATTTAAATTCATTAATATTTACCGATTCCTTGAACTAGCATCCTTTATTTGTTGAATATTTTTTTCAACAAAATTTTGTTTTTTTGAAGATGTTATGTCTACATCATCGTCATTATCTTGATTTTTGTTGAACATTGTTGTTGCCGTTGTTGGTGAAAATGACTGTTCTTTTTTATGATTATGTGAATAGGGTTTATAACTAGAAAAGGCTAAATAAAAAGAAAATTTTCTAACATGCACTATCAACAAAATGGTGTGCACTGAACAATGTTTATATACCTTCAAATTCTTTTTGTGTAATTGGTACTCCAAATTCTTTACTCAACGATACAATCATATCTGCAGTTGGAAATAAATTATGTTTAACTGATGAGCGAAGGTTATGCATTTTAACCATCTAAAAATAAAAGTTTTATTTTATTTCATCTTTTTTATAAAATAAAATAAAATTATCTATAGACCTCATGTAATCTTCGCAATGCTTCAAATGACTCTTTCGGTACCTAAAAATACAAATAAATTCAATACTTTAATGAATTATATACAATGATAACCACTAAGATATTACCATATCTCTGACATAAAGCAATGGTTGTTGAACAATTTCTTTTAGTGGTCGATGAAGTTTAATACGTGTTAAATCAACATTTAATTTGGCATAGATTCGTTCATCAAATGTTAACGATGAATCATACGATATGTCAACTTCTTTAGAATAATAAATAAGAATTATTATTTCATTTTATACTTTATAAAACGCATACTTTGATTTTCAGATTTAGACAATTGTTCATAGAGATGTTCAATTCCTTTATCTCTTAAACCTTCTAAAACAAATATATGATGTTCATCGTCGAATAAATGGAAACCAGTTATGATATTTAAATCTAGACTTTTTCGTTGGATTCTTGAAGAGAAAAAAACGACGATTAGATATATATTCAAATACAAAGTACAGATTAACATACTCGGTTAGTTTATAAGTTGATAAAGCGGCGGCTTGAACATTCTTCGGATAAACGTCAAGTTCAAGCGCTTTGGCATTAATACAATGAATATTTGTTTCGATTACAGATAAAAATTCAAGGTTATTATAGTCGAATACAAATACCGTCCGAGTAAATGGTGTCATCGGTGTTGCTATAACAGATCGTTGTAGTTGTGTCAATTGTAGATTAACAAGTGGTTTTGCTAAGCGAACAACAATTTTCATTTGTGTTCCATGTTCGAGAAAATGTCCTTGTTGTATGGGCAAATATTTTCCCGTATCAACTGCTCCCGGTACACCATAGATACGTTTTGCATTCGTTGTGCGTGATATGATATCAGGCGCATGACAAGGAACAACGGGTATAAAACATTCAAGAGATGTTTGTCCCAATAATAATTCAGATAAATCTAATTTAACTGTACCATAGGGAAACCATGGCTTCCCTCTTGATTCAAACGGATTATGAATGGTCAGTTTTGCTAAAATAGAACAAAGGAAGATTTTTATATTTTATAATCACTAATTATTTACCAATAACTGCTGAAACATGTCCGATTGATTCATCCGCTACTTCTGTTCCAAAAACACTACTGCCACTTTTCCTAATATTTGCTTTTTCATCTCGATCATGAAGTTCAATATAGATTATTGGTGAATTTCGAAATTTTGCTAATGATGTTTCGTTAATCAGATCTAAAATAAATAAAACATTCGGTATTATCGATTCATTTCTCTCCTTTCTCTTTCTCTGATTTCTCTTTCCAGAGGACAAACTTACTCATAAAGCATACGTATATATCATCCCAATAAATATTACGTTGATGAGATTTACTCGTTGTTCTATATTCTTGCTGATCAAATAATTCGTATGAACAATAAACAGGCTCACATCTATATAAAGTTCCAGTATGCTCTTTTTTTCTTTTCCGCTACTATCAGCATATTTTACAAATAAAAACTCACTGTTTTCTCAGTTCTTTAAATGATAAAGGTGTGCTAGGCATATTCACAACATGACATATCTTCAACGATAGTGGATTATATTCGGTAGCCAAATGCTCGGAAAGAACATCAAAATCATCAATGGATAAATTAACGAAACAGTCTTTTATTGCCTGTGGTGTTTTATCGTCAATTCTACAAGTAATTTCTTTTGAACCTATGGCAAGGTTATACATGTTAATGATAATAAAAACCTTCATCACATAGTAGATCTTACCGACAAAAAGTAATTTGGATGGAAAAATAATTTGAATAGCACCTTTTTCACGTTTCTCATCAACATGTTTCGTCGGTTTTACTTTCAAAATCCAAAATTATTTTTCATTAATTGGGTTATGAGAATGACACTTGTTAATACCTTTAGAAAATTTTGTCTCAGAATCATCTGCTGCTCTTGTTGTCGATTTTGATGTTGATCGTTTTGTTTTCTTGACAGAGTTTTTTTCATTTGCAATATTACTAAATTTTACAAAAATATGTATAAGACTTATATGTGACTGCTAGTTCGATTCAACCACAAAGCGAGTTTATATTGGTATAATTAGAATACATTGTTTAGCGATATTCATTGATTGGAAGCACATTGCAGAAAAGGAGAAAAGTTTTTGGTCAAGTTTTTCATAGATATCATATAAAGTCTAACATGTTTTTGGACAAAATTACATATGAAGCGGCTCTATTAATTAAAATTTTGTAATTTCTATTTCAATCTTCAGCTGTAAAAAAAAGAAGTTTTGATTCTAATTGATGCAGAAATCGTGATAATTTGTTTTTCTAGTAGAAGACTCATTCTATACACAAAACGATCAAAACTGAGCCATTGAGAATCAAAATCTATCTGTAGCAGCTACTTTTAAAGCAATAACATCAGAGCAGTCTATGATAGAACATACCTTTTAATAAGTAACTAATCACCCATACTAGAAATATTATTGGATTTCTTGTAGGACATGGAAAAGCCTCGACTTTACTTACTCTGCTGATTCAATTGGTAATTCTGGAGTTGTTTTCTCGATCACTGACACCTCGATTTGTTGTTCTGTGGGTGTTATTTGTGACTCGATATCTCGTACTGAAATACGTATACTTAATAGAATTACAAATTCATTTTATTTCGTGAGATTTACAATTACTTGTCTGTTGTAATGATAGAGATGGTAATGGAATTTCAACAGGCAGTTTTCGTTTTAATTTGTATAACAATGGTTTTGGTAACCATTTTGTATAATTTTGAGCGACTCGTTGGACAATAGTTTTAGGAGAATTTTTATCGTCATCTCCAATAGATTAAGAAAACAAAGAATTACTTTGGCTTGACTAAACCATAAATAACACTGTTACCAGTGGTGGAACTTGCTGGATAGCGTATGAGTTTTGGACGATCGAGTTTTGTTCGTGGTAAACAATATTCTTTACCATCCCATATTTTGACAATAATTTTATGATTAACAAATTTTAACAGACGTTCGCGATCAAGCTCAATTGTATGACTAAAATATAACAGTAAAACAGATGATGAATTTCATTGCAAAATACTGATTGTTTAGTATTTACTTATGTGTCCATGTTATCCAAATATTATTATCATCGTCTTCCCATGTCGATACTATTCTTGGTTCATTATTATCAGGATAAATTTTGGCTACATTCTTAAACACAGCTATATCACACGATGTTAAATTGGTATCATCAGGTGTCAACGCATATTCAAATCGATAATATCCCTAGATATAGAGACAATTCTGTATTTTTATTCAGAAAATTTGAAGAAAAAAGAATACACGAACCTGAACTTTTGGAATTTCTGCAACTTTTGAGTCTGTCGCTACGGACAGTGCTGCACCGGTATTTATTACAGATGATCGATCGAAAATAGTTGGTTCGCAGTGTTCTAAATATGAAAATGACATTACGCGACGAAAAGAAAATATTATCAAACATGTGAATTGTGAAGAGGGTGAAATCCAATTTAACGACAAGTGAATGTGCTGATAACATACAACGTTTCTTAATCCTCAAAAAATGAAATGAAGTATAAATTTCGAAAAAAACCTTGTCTTTATTAGATGTAAATTAGTCACCTTCTTCATTTAATACAATACAATAAGCTGAAAATAACAACAATTCACGCCAGATGAATATAAGTCGAGTTATTTTAGAGTAAGATAGTTGATAAGCTTACCTGATGGTACAGCTAACGCTATTGTCACTTTCAGATTGACATGAAACGTTGAATGACTAGCGGTAGAAGATAAGTTAATAGGTGACATATTAGTACAAAGATTAACTGAACATGAAGTGGAGCCTGATGAAGTGATTTCAGGAAGTTCAGGAAAATTTTGTTTGGTAAAGATAACAAATTAGGGAGAACACCAATTCATCTCTGTTAATTGTGATCTAGAAGAAAGTATAAATGTATGAGAAACATTATGGATCTTAGAATTTAACAATAGCGTTTAGCTAATATTGAGTGAGGTAACACCTTTTTCTAATAACAAAATATTATTCTTTCACGAATATGTAGAATGGGGTTACAGATTAACGCTCATGCTCAGTCGACATATCAGACATGAATAATAGTTTGCTATTTAGTTATCTCTACCTAATCTAACGATATCAGCCCTACTTCGAGAAGACCATGAAAGAGCGAATAGCCAATAGAAAATAGTAATGGACTTGCTATCGCAAGATTATTTCTTTGTAGTATCTTGTGACAACAGGCATCAATCATTTAAAAATGATAAATACTGACACGAGCGGAATAAATCGACTTTCTAACATTATTAAACCTTTATTTAAAGACGATCTATTAAATCAGATATATTAAATTAATTTACTAGTATTGTTATCGTGTGGTCGTCATTTGAATAGTTAGAACTGTGATTGTACTAGATTCAAAAGTCTGTTTAAGAAGAAATATTGTTTGATCAAAACCATTTTGATATTAGTATTGGTATTCTTTTTATCTTTGCATTATATTTGATAATAAAAATGATTGTCTCACCTCGATAAATTGTAAAAAACCAAGCGCCTGGAGTACTCTTCTGGGCGATAAATGGAACATTTTTAAAAGTGTCTCACTACGGAGACACTTTCTCGAGCCACTGGCAACGCGAAAACGTCGATACCATCATTCATTTTTTGTATATTGCGCTTCTGTATATTCTACATTTTAATTGTCATCGAGCATTTATATTTGCCGAACGTTGAATTGAGTAGAATTAATTTGAATTATATTGATCTATAGGAAAATTTGTGGTCTTAATATCGTAGACATCGTACAAGGGTCAACATTAGGGATAGTTTCAAACATCTGTTGAGTATTGGCTACTCAGACTACCGACAATAATATATTTTATTTTGCTCCAGTTATTACTTATACAACAATAATGTGCATTCCAATCGGACCTATATACAGTATATAAGAAGAATAAATACCATCAAAGAAACAGTTTTCTCGATCCAACAAATTCAGGAGAGTCATCAGGTAATAGATGTCGACATTTTCTATTGAATATTGAATGCAGACTTGAAATGTGAACGATAAAAAGAACATGTTTCGATGTTTCTAACAGTGTTGCAGAAAAAAGCGTAAACTAAATTCATTCTGACTGTCTGTTTAAAACCAAAGAAGAGCTCCTTCGGTACCAAAGCACTCTAAGCACAGTACTTTCAATCTCTGCACTGTGACGAAAAAAAAGAAATTATTTCGTCCCTATTAGGAAGGAAAAGCGGAAGTATAAAACTCATCCGTATTGAACAGTTGCTTTAGATAGAAGTAACTTGTGGTTGTATCCTATATTCGAATATCTGCTCAACCCACGAAAACAACAAACATGCGTCCAGAATTCATTGAAAGTGTGGTAACTATAGTGATCCTCTTAAAATGATATTATGTTGAAGTGACTATAAATGAAGAGTCCGACAGATCAAACTAACTAATATTTCTAAAAAAATCGCTTTAGATCAAATCGTAATAGTTCTACATAAAAATGAATTCTATATAATTTATTCCCTGTCTCGCAATGAATAACGGTAAAATTTGATATTGTAAAAAGCCCCTTACTTCGTGCACTTTTCTTGTGTTGAAAAACGCAGTCGGATGGATGAAAACTTTAAAGAAACTCAGCCGCACATTAAACTTTTCGAACAGAGCGATGAACTGCCCTAATTGAAAGCCCCGACAATACTCCCCAGGACTTCAGTCACAGGATCCCGTACGGAGTCAGGGGCGATTCTTTTGAAAGCGTAACACATTTATATCGACTTTGTCCGAATTGTTCGAGAGTAACAGGACTAGTACAACTCGCCTTCCTGGTGACGAATATCACGTTTAAAAATTTTTAAAACAATGGTATGGCGGCCTTCTAGACCTGTGAAAATCCTTTTTCCCAGCAGAACCGTCCTTTTTAGAACAATTTTTAGGTGTTTTTCTCCTAGATTCGATCTTCCGACCTTTCATACGCTGTACTTCTCGAACTACGCATTTTCCCATTGCACTAAATTGTTCAAAAGGAAACTACGAGTTATGATGATACAACCGTCCTTTTGTGGGCATTTTCACCATTTTTTAGTGAAACACTTTTATGAGCTGGTACCGTCTGATTAGCTTCTATATGTGCAGAGCTACAAAATCACTAGCAGACAAAAAGTTCCGAAGTGTTAACCACGTTCTTAGAAAAATAATTAAAAATCTCGTTTTTTTCGAAAAGTAGGCCGTTTTGTAAACCACTTTTCCCCCATAAAATCATATCACCAAAAGACAACAAGATGTGCATTCGACGCGCCTTTTCACTTTTCATCCGGTGAAGTGGTTCGCATTGCGAATAGAAAACGTTTAATGGTAGAAAAAAACAGCTTTCAAAGCCGATTTTCCTCGTTCCTCAAAGTTTGAGTACGTGCTGCACCATTCTACGAGATTACAGGACGTGGGATGACATATATTTCGCATGTACTCGACGTGGGCTATTAGAAAAACAGGTGTTCATCTTTGACCAAGTACTTTCGAAATGGACGAAAATCCTGTGGTATTTTTCCTGGAAAAATACTTTTCCCTAAAAGTACTTGTGCGACTTTGATCATGTTATGATAAAGCTCATGGTGTACCGTCAACGATTGAAAAACTTACAAGTACATTCAATGTGACGGATGTTCTTTTAGAAACATCGCCAAAAGTGTACACAAACTCTTTGCTCATGCACTGTGACTTGTACTAGATAAAACCAAAAAGTCATCGACATTGTATATCTCAAGTCAATTTTCCCACTGAACTCGTGGCGTGATCCCGCAGTCCCACCTATGATCGCGAAAAGTCTTGCAGTAGCTTCACAATTGCTATCGGCTCGTGCTGTCACATCGCCATTACGCTAAAATCTTTTTTTCAAAAAAAATTAGCCGTTACTCAAGATAAGACTTTTTGGTGCCATACGGTCCTAGAGGAGTCTTAAATCTATTGAAGTGAGTAGCTGTGCATAATTCTGACACAACAAAAATCCTGCAGTCGCTTCGTGAAACGTGAGAAAAATTGTAGTCGCGACGAGAATTGCGGTCTAGAACTCATTCAACCTTTTGTTTTGCAGTTGAACTTACCGGAAAGAACGGAAGAAACATTAGAATTTTAGTTAATTTCTTGTTCTAAAGTTTAATTTTGCATCAAGAGTCGGAATTCAAGGATCGAGATTTTCTCAAAAGTTATCAAATCGGAAATTTCTGAAAATAAAAAAATGACTTTCGGGGCTCCTGTCGCGAATCGTGCCATGAAATAGTTCTTCTGCTCTAGAATAGCGATTGGACTAGAATCATGGCAGGATTCTAAGAGTTCGCCTAGGATTCCGCAGAGTCGCGCCACGGTGCCAGGAGTTCTGGCAAGATCCGACGTTTTTTTTCTCTTTAAATTTTCCGTTTATCTTTACAAAGTTTCATTATGTAAATTGTTCTAGTGGACAAAAGTCGTGAATTTTATGGCAAAAAATTTTCAAACGTTGATGTCTACTGTACTACAGTACTACGCCCTCACCCTCACTTAAGGTGGTCCTATGGAATGCCATTAAAACCGTACGGTATCGACATCTATCGCTTATGTTGATTCGAGAATATATTAGCCAAAACGAATGGAAACTTATAGTCAAAGAACCGAGTGTTGGTTTACGCGAAAAGTTGGAGAAGTTTTGCTTTTGCTTTTTATGAAAGCGTCAGTCTAGATAAGCGCTTCCGACAATCGCGACTGTCAATGTTTGATAGTCGCTATTGTCGGAAGAAAAATTATCGTACACTTTCTTGACCAAAAACTTCGGAAAAGCTTCTTCATCCAAATTTATACCGTTGGTGGTTTAATAGAGGGTATCTTCTGATGTATATCCCTCCACCATCGATCATAAATCGATGTAAAATGATTATAGGATTAGTCGAATTGATTATAACCGGTTATATTATGTATAAGAATACATCTTTAATAAAGTAAAGTATGCTCTTTAGATTATTAGAATATGTTCACTCTATCATACCACATGCCTTCGAAAAAACTCTGTCTACAACAGCAACTTCAACGAAAACACGAAGTAAAAATACATCAGCTACAAAACACAAACTACCACCATCGACCAATTGGACAAAGAAATCTATAGTTGAAGAGGAATCTGAAGAAGAAGAAAATGAAGAACTAGAAGTTAGTGTTAACCAGTGTTTTTAATAGGAATTTTAAGCAAAGTGGGGTTCCACAGTTTACCCCTGCATTTTCCGTGTTTTCCCTGCTAAAAACAAAGTGGGAATCGAATTTTCAAAGTGGAAACCCATTTTGTTCAAGCGAGACCCACTAATCATTAAAAACACTGGTGTTAACCTAAGTAGCGAAAAAATCTTTTTTTATCATTTTATAACGAAATGGTGTTGATTTCTCAGAAGAAAGAAGCGATTAGAGATGAAGAACCCTCAACTAATTAGAAATTTTAAAAGTTTAGAGTTTTAGCCCAGGAAAGTCAAATGAATACAAACCAGTACTACACTCTTTTTACACTTTGCTTATTAGCTGAATTAAACATATCACTTTTTTTGTATTACAGAAGTTTCTGATCCATTTGTCTTTATTTGTTTTAGATCCAAAGAATGATACAATACTGACAATAGAAGGAAAAAAGGTTATTGTTCCATGTGACAAAGCAATTCGAACAATGCTTGAATCTTCAGGTTTGCTCAAAGCAATTATTTGATATTTAAAGAAAATCAATATCGTATTCGTTATTTATTAAAAATGAAATTCGATTATTAGATAAAAAGAATAAACAAAGCGAAACATCACTTATACATCTTTTTTTAATATTTTTGTTCTTTATTTACAACAATCTCTAGGTGTCTTTTGTTGCTGTTATTAAATCGGAGAGTAAAATTTATTATGACGTGTGAATAATGAAGAAGAAAATTAAAGTCGTAGCGTAACTATATTTTTATGTTAACAGCTTTTACTTTAGTTTCTCATACAATTAGTTGATAATATTTATATGTTTATGATATAAAAAATAACAGTTTATGTGAATCACGCAACCTGTTTTCTTTCTTTCTTCTACGGTCATCCTCTAAACATTGTATGTGGTAACAATTTATTTTTGTTATCTGTTCGTTTTTCTTCTGCAAGAAAATAACTATTTTTCAAGAATTACTTTTACGAAGTTGTGCAATTTATGTAATACATAGTTTTATTTTCGATTATTTTTACTGATTTGAATTATGACTGGAATAAATATTACAAAAAAAACGAAAGTATGTCGTTCGTGATTTTTGTAGAATAGTGTTAAGGAAATATTCAAAATATACCGGAGGGGCATAACACTGTATAAATCTAATTTTTCCACTTTTTTTTGTTATATGTACTCAGATTATGTCGATACTATTTTTATCATTTGATAATTCGGTCGATAAAATTGGCTTACACTTATACGACATTTTAAATAGCAATTATTTAAATAAAAAACTGCTACAAGTGCATCATCATTATTGTCGCGTGGCATCATTTTGTTCAAGTAAACAACTTTTTCTTCTTCAAGCTCACGATGATCAAACAAAGAATTTTGAACAAATAATAACATCAACATTAAAAAATGATTGTTTATCAACCAATGATATATTGGCATTAATTATTCTTGTTGATATTGCTACAACTCAAGTTCATTTTAAATATAAATCAAAAATTGACTATTTTCTCAGATATTTACGTACGTTTTATCCATTACATCCAATTTTAACATTTTTTTTTCATTCAAAACATATTTTATACAAATCTCCCTTGACATGTTTTAATTTTGCATTTATGTTATCTACTTTATATCCAATTGTTGATGGTATTATATTTTATGATATTGATGAACATAATTTGAACGATGAAGAATACTATACGCATATTGCACAAAACATATCGACTCTTTTTCTACCTGTATCCTCATTACGTAATAATAACATGAACAAAAGTGTTTGTATTGAATTACTTCAATTAATTCAACATTTAGTTATAAATGAAGATTTGAAATTAATTGATTTTACACTTATCAAATTACCTCTAAGTGGTAGTGATAGTTTAAACTGTTTAAGAAAAAAATATTCACAATCTTGGAGTCAACAGAATAATATAAGAAAATGTTTTTCTTCAATATTAATTAGTCGAGGTAAATTAGCCAATCAATCGTGTACTAAAGATCATTTAGTAGCTTTAGAACGAATATTAGAAATAACAACAAGTAATAAAGATGAACTAATGAATTGTCTCGATATTTGGAATCACGATGATGAAAGTAAATCGACGTGGACAGTACTTGTTAATCATACTTATGTAATTGAAATAATATTAGAGGATATATTAAAACCTTGTAAAGCAAAAATGATGATGAATAATGCTTATTTTTATTGGTTAAAAAAGAAATACAATAATCTAATAAATATTGAACAAGATATTAATAATGCATTAAACATATGCGAACAAATTACTGATCATTATAAACAGTGGATATGATAATAAATAAGTTTGTTCAATTTCTTTTTTTGTACTGTTTTACTTTTCTCATTTTCATGCTCTATCAAAATCACTAGTACTATGTAAATTAAGTTGTGAAATTAATCCAATGATGCAATATCGTTATTTTTGACTCTAATCTCCGTGGTTCATTTTAGGATACAGTTTAGGCTAGTCAAGTATAGTTAAACGTGAAATACAAAGATGAGAACGCGAAGTTCGTAATAATAACCGGAAGTATGACATGATAAAACATAGTGTTTAAAATGAAATTAGGAGAGAGCCAGTTAGTTATTTCGATGCGCATTTGGAGCCAGTTGTACAGATTGAAGAATATGAATGAAAGCCGAATAAGCTTAAAAACACAATTTCTTTTTTCTTTTATAGATTTCGAACGTCAGAGGTCAAGGTAGTCTAATAAACTTGGAAATTAGTGAAAAAAAACAAGATTCTGAGTCGAAATTGTTCATCATCAAGAATATCATTAAACTATATTTTAAGACGTAGGTATTCCATTTTGTTGCAAATATTAGCTCAAAGCTTTTTTCTTAGCGTTAAATTCTGATAAATTTCAAACTACTTAATTTGATTTTTATCAGATGTAATTTTTTTGCATTGACGAATAATTTGAATGAATATTTTCAAAGGCTTTTGTATACGAATTTGACTAGAAGAAATGAAAACAATGTATTACATTAAACATTTATTTGTGTAATACTTGTCTAGCTGTATAATAGAAGAAAAAAAACACACAAGACAAAAGAAAAAAGCAGCCAGTTTTATCTATTTTTTGAAATAGTTTATACCTCTTTTAAAAAAATGTTATTTATCGTTCAGTTCCATCCATGTATTTATCTTATATGTAGATCAGCAAATTGAGACTGGCTACCGTACGCTCCCCAACTTGAATTCGAATTATTTATGGTCGATAATGTATTATTGGATATTGACGTTGATGACGATGATAGCGTTGTACAATTGTTATGAGAAATACTTACATGAACAAGATTGTTACTGCTAAATAGAAAGAGGAGGCTCAGTAGTTACATCAGTTGTTTGTTTTAAAAGTAGCGGCGTCTGTAGGGTCTAGATATCATCGATGAAATGGATATAGGACGTTTTACAGTACTAGCAGGGTCGTAAGACGTACTTATTTGATATGTAATCGATAGAATTTGCTGTGGGATCTTTCATTTTCGATTGTGGTTTTACTCGAATATCGACTATTGACTTCAGTTAGCAATATATCGTGGTACACAGGCTGCTCTTTTCGTTTGTTTGTATGTGTGAATAGGTTGATCGATGTTCTGTGAAGGATGGTTATATATCAATCTTTAAGCACTGCTTTACCGAGAGAAGATGCGGGTTCCTAAAAATAATAACAAAAAACATTCATTTTTGAACTATTATAGAACAGATACGATGAACTTACGTTTTTCCAAGTACGTTTAAGAGTACGATAATTCGATTGTTTTGAGAGAAGCATACGATTAAAAACTGAGGAAAACAGGCTAAAAAAAATAAGAGGATTAAATAATTAAAAAAATATAACACTAGATCATACCGCGCCAATTTCGAGCACGTTATGATAGCTAGACAATTTCCACATCAATTTCACTATGCATTGAGCCCTTCGTTTTGTGGCGGCCATTTATAACATTCATCATATAAACAATATACTTACATTGTATGTATATTTAAACATAAATAGAAGAGTAATAGTGGAAAGTTGTTTCGTATGCCCTTGCTTTAGGAGAAAAACGATATTCGCATAATGGCTTATACACAAAGAAATAGAAGTATTTTATCTTGATAAGCAAGTTGATATACTCAAAACTATAGACATTTGAACTTTTTTTGTTTGTTCTTTCACCTAAAAGTATCACGCGTCGAACGCATGCTATTTCTTGTTCATATAGAAAGAAAAAAGCAGACTGTAGAATAATTTGTTAACCATTCGTTACTCATGTTTTATAGTAGTTAAATATTTATTTAAGTCTCATATGTTATATACATACATATATATATATATATGATGAAATAGAAATAGAACTCATCTAGAAATGGGAAAAAAAATTGTAAAAAATATTCATTCGTCCTTACGGATGAGAAAACAAGCTAATCTTTTTTTTATGTTAAGAAAGAGCAGTGTAACTTACTGTTGTGAGTACTTAAGCGAAGAAGAATCACATACATCTAAACAGCGAAAAAATAATGAGTTTACCAAATGAGCTAGGATAGAAGAAAAAATGTGGCAGAACTTGAATGACGTTTGACGATGTCGACGACGACAATTTATGGGAAGCATCGGAAAAACGACTATACCAAAAATAATATATATACAAGGGAAAATAAACAGTAATGAAATAACGTAACACACACGTGATACATGGCATGTCCTCTACAAAATAAGAGCACTCCATGACCTTCTACTGGAAAGATACTAACTTTTTGAAGTTTGCTACTTTTACTCTAAAAAAACTCTATTTCTTAAATTTCGAACACTATTTCTTCATTCCAGCACCTGAAAGTTTTGTGAAATAGTCAGTCTTATAGAGTAAAGGGTTCTGAACAAAACAAAATCTCACTCTACTCTACACCATGTTGTCTGATAAAGTTATGTGCATTTTGCTGAAAGTTTTCCAAAAAAGTGACTTTCGTGTTGCAACGTTCCTGATACAAAACATCGCCTTTTGCTCGTGCATTCAATGGGCCTTGCTTACGTCTCTCTTAACAGTTCATCCATTTGGACTAAAGTTTTTACCACGGTCACTTCAGAAGCTTCTCCGAAAGTTTAATTTTTTTTTAAAAAAAAGGGCTTCTGAGCCGTACTATGGGTTTTAAAAATCAAAAGTCAAGATTCTGCTAGGCGTTTTGCATATTTCCGATAAAACTTTTCAATGCATCAATATCTTCCGAAAAAAGGAGGGGACCCTATTTCCCTTGATTTTGGCTCACTGGCATCATTGGCTCACTTTCGGTTTAATTTTGATCGGATTTTGTAGAGAAAACGATTTTACACATTTTGAAGTGCATATGTACCATTATAACCTTATGAAGATTTTTTACATTAACTTTTCTGAATAGGTACATAAAGCATATCGATGCTTAACAAAAACGATTGTGTTCAAAATCTAATATGAAGTTACGGTAAAGCTTGATATAGAAAAACAGCCAATGAAAAACTGAACAAACTAGTGCATGGACCATAGTCACACACTGTATATTTAAGGAGAAATGGTTTATTTTCGAACATGTCCTATCTAGTGCTCATCCTTCAGCGATCATTTTCCCTCATTTGAACCCATAAATAAGAGAGGATATAACATAGTCTTCAGTATAGAAAAATAGCTCTTGAAAAGCTCTACAATATTCTGAATAAACAAACTCTACATAATACCATTGACTCAATCCATTATAATTCAAATACGAGAAGAATCAAGAAAATGCACTCATATTTTGAATTTTTTCCATCAAATTTCAATTTTTTCTCACAACCAAGATCATATTTGGAATCACCGTTAATAACTGCATTGAACAATCTTTGTTTCGAAAGTTTTAGACAACTTTGATTTTTTTTCGAATTTTTTCGACCGAGATTTTTTGCTGAAAAATCAAAGTTGTCTAAAACTTTCGAAACAAAGATTGTTCAATGCAGTTATTAACGGTGATTCTAAATATGATCTTGGTTGTGAGAAAAAATTGAAATTTGATGGAAAAAATTCAAAATATGAATGCATTTTCTTGATTCTTCTCGTATTTGAATTATAATGGATTGAGTCAATGGTATGTAGAGTTTGTTTATTCAGAATATTGTAGAGCTTTTCAAGAGCTATTTTTCTATACTGAAGACTATGTTACATCCTCTGTTATTTATGGGAGAAAAATGGCTAAAATATCAGTTGTTTCGGTGGTACATATGCATTTCAAAATGTATAAAATCGTTTTCTCTACAACATCTGATCAAAATTAAGTCAGCAGTGGGTCAAAATCAAGGGAAATCCTACTCTCCTTTAACCGTTCACATACTTGACCAGCTGTTTTTAGCCCGGTTAGATGAAATTTCAGAAAGATCGTCGACGCAGTCAATTGAAACGAGATATTTCTAGAAAACACCCGAACCAAGATAACTGAGACATTCGCGTCTCAAAAGATGCACAAAAGACTTTTACATCACCACTGAAAATAACAAGTAATTGCTTCTTATACTTTACGAGTAGTAAAATTTTCCGCGAAAGCTCAAAATGAGGAGAGGACTAAACGTAGTTGAATCGTATTCGTCATGATTGTTTGCTATACAAGTTTATTTTGGCAAATAGTTTTATTAAATGAAACAGTGTGAATTAAATCGATAGAGTACTAGGATGTATTTAAATATTTTACTGCAGAAAAAGTTATCAAAAAGATGTTTAGCAGTGTTTAAATTCTAGAAGTAAGCATAGAGTAAATGAAAATGGTTAGCGTCTTTCGAAACGACAAGAAGGTCGGTCGGTAAGTTTATTGATACTCTCGAGATGGCAGCAATCCAAATGTTGCTGACGCGCCAAAATGCACTTATACATAGTGTACTGAGTTTTGCGTAGAATGGTTGTTTCACTTTTCCACGAAAACGCGCTAGTAATAAATCTTTCCTAATCAGTTTATGTAGGAATCAGGTAATCAACGAATCTAGACAGAAAAATCAAGTAAACATAACTAGTGGTCTGTCAGACACAAGGCTGCCAAACATTCACTGATAGGGGAGACAATCTTACATTTATAAATTTGTCCTCCTAGGTGTCCCTCTTTTCAAGAATGTGTGCTTCTGACTGTCTTCAAGTTTTATGTTTTGACCTAGTAATATTAAAATAAAATAAAACAGAATAATAGAAATGTTCGAGAGAAGAAAAAAAATATTCATGTACCTTTAACTTTCTCAACGACATTGCACGACTAACAATGTGTTTTGCCTTATCCCCATTTTATTCTCCACATTTTCTTAAATTTGTCTCTCTTTACTTCTTTTTTAGTTGGCATAGTGAGGCTCCGATCTCAAAATTATGTTCAAACTGATCTTTTGAATACAAAATTTCCAATTTCGAAAAAAAATTCAATACGAATATTTCCATATTATGAGTGGCTCTCTCTCACGTTTTGCACCCACATCCAATCTCACGCATGTGTTGACTACTGGATTCCTAGATGATTTATGTAGGAATACTACGATAGATTACTAGTGTGTTTTTCAAAAGAAAAGTAAACAAGTGTTTTTTCTGGAAAAAAGAAATAGCCATCATACTCAAAACCCAATGTACTATATATAGGTACATTTTGGCGTGTCAGCAACATTTTAATTGCTGTCAGTATTGAATGTGTCAATAGCACCTTGCTGTCAGGTTCGGGGGCACACTGCACAAAATTCGCGATATTTTGCAAGTATTTTGAAAACAGAAAATGTTTGCAAACTTGTGGGTAGAAACGATTTTGTCAAAAAAATTGTGTGTTTTTGACACAAAGTTCGCAAATCCCCCGCAATGGGTATCGTTATAATTACCAAGATGGATCGGTTTCGTCGCAATATTATTCTTGCGTATATTAAGAACTTCTGTCACGATCTAGCCATAAAAATAGGTAACTTCAACTCTGAGTTGATATTCCTACGTGTGTCATAGCTGCCCACTATGACACACGTAGGACTTCTCTCTCTACCCAGGTCGATGATTTCGGAGACAGGTCTCTGAAAGATCCGACTGGATCGGACGTTGGCACATGCCGGAATCCGACAAAATCCGACTGGAAGCATGCCGAAAGATGTCGGAAAAGATCTGATCGATTCCTTCGTGTTCCAGACATCATATTTCACTGGATGTGACCGATTTTTAGGTGTTTTAAGGCTAAAAATAGCCTTACATTTTTATTTCATATTTTTTGTTTATCTTCTAGCGGCTCCTCTCTCGGTTTATTCAAGCGAGTAGATGGACCACTAGCTAGGACGTGTATAACATATCCACTGAACAGTGTGAGCGATGACTCACATCGTTAAGAATTTCAGAAGAAAAATTTCTCGTTTTTCATTTTCTGCGGTGTCGTATTGAAAGTGATGTTATGGCGAAACAAAACGGTGAATATATTATGCGTACAGGAAAAGAATAAGAAAAATACAGAAGTGCACACCACAGGATCCGTCAATTTCGGATCACCGGAAATGGAGGAATCCGACTGATTTCGGATCCGTATCCTCCAGAATCCAGATATCGGAATGCAAAGGAATTGAGCGGATTCCGATCTCCAGAATTAAAAGGATTCAGTAGAATCCGATCGAGCGAATTCGACCTGAATTTTGGGCTATACTCGAGCAAAGAACATACAGATGAAAATGGCAGTTGTTAGATCATTAAGTACTACTATTTTATCATACGGATAGTTCTTTGTTTGCCAGACGAATAAGATCGTTTCTGGTGATCAGACTATAGCAATTTTAAAACTCACGTACTCTGGCACAAACAAATAAAGCAAAAAGAACTAAAATTTGTCCAGAATGCAAAAAAATACATTGAATACACAGAAATAGAGACTACAACAGAGAGAAAACAAAAAACCGGATTTTTTAATATTAAACGTGTTTTTCCAAAGAGATATGTAAGTATGTACATTAGATATTTGAAAAAACAGAAATAAACTGGTTTAGAAATACTGTTCTTTGTTATTAACTGTTCTCCAAGAGAACGTCACAAGCTACAATTAAACAATAGGGAAAAAGCAGACGCCAGCGTCGTGGATATGACTAGAATATTGTCGTTAACCGGATAATAAAACCACCGAAATTTTTTCGATTAGAGGTATAAGTTGCACATAAGTTGAATTGAACTCTTTTTATGTGCTCAACAAGCTCGAATCTGTTGCATATTTATTGCATAGAATATTGTGTTTTAAACTTTATGACGAGAGTTTATCCATTTGATCCTACAGAATCTTGACTACTCCCCATACTTGACGTGGCATTTTTTCGTTGTTTACTGTGTACTTTCAAATGTCTTGTTATCATATCTCGCCGACATGCTGCATAGGAACATTCAGGACAAGCATACGGTTTTTCACCTAGAAAAAACAAAAATTTCTTACGAAAGATTCCTTACGTAATTCTTTTTTTTCCTTCTACAAACCTGTGTGTGTGCGCAAATGGGTACTTAAATGGTCACTTCTGGAGAAATGAGTGTTGCACATTGTACAACGGTACGGTCGTATTCCAGAATGTAAGCGCAAATGTCGGTTTAACATGTCACTTCTGGAAAGAGCGGAGAGAGTATGAGTAAACTTAAAAAAAGATAGTTTTGTGTCGACTATACCTTGAAAATCGTTTAAAGCAAACTTTGCATTGATAACTTCGTGAATCTACTCGATCACCTTCTAATATAGCAGTTTTATCATCATCAACAGCACTCTGTAAATGGCTCCGATAATGAGCGATGTACCTACAAGAGGAACAATTAATGAATTAATTGATTTGAATTTTAGCAAAGGGTTACATTTGTCTTGAATCAAATCGTTGCCGACATATTTGACATGGTGGGATTTGATCGGTAGTTGGTTCTTGAGCTTCCATCTTGAATCTAGAAGGTAGCAACAACAATAATTAGATTAGATTTAAAACAAAATCATAAGATTTGTTATACCTTGGGCTTATGGGCGTGAAAACATTTTGTTCATCACAAAGAATTTTTGTTAAATTTGAAAGTTGTGCTATGGATCCTTGTGCATTGACCGCCATAGGCTCTTGTGATTTTGGAAAATGAAAACTGACTAACGTATAAGGATTAGGTGCTGTCTGTGATGAATATTGCCCAGGATCTGAAGCAGCTGAAAATGGTGTCGTGGGTCCGCGAAGTAGTGGAGGAAATACTATTGGTGTTAAAATTCTATCGAACGATTGTTGTTTAATTTGTGAACATGGTTGAATACGATGGGTTTGGGGTGGTAATAATTGCTTCAAACGAGGATCCATTGTATCAGTTGGGGACAGAGGATATTGATGACGATAGGATGTAAGAATAGATGACTGGTCTAATTGTTGACAATCTGGTGAATGTTCTCCTTGTTTGTTGGATGTTTGTTCAGAATATGAATGTTGAAGGGGATGTCGAAAAGTCCGTTCATGAAAGTCACTTTGTAATGCATCGTCAACGGTCAAATTGCGAGCAGATCGAACATTGCTCAATTTTGTAAACAATATCGGTGTAGGATTTGTGGTTATTACATTTTCTCTTACTTCATCTGTAGACGGTTCAACAGGATCAAAATGTTGATCAATACTAAATGTTATTTTTGTGCAATCAGCTGGTGGTGATGACATTTGTCTATCTTTAGCCAACTCTCTGCCATTTTCATATGAATTTGAATTGGGTGCATCCTCCATATCGATGGTTATCATTCTAAATGACAAAATATCAGAAACTGATGCAGTTATCCATGCAATTACTGTAGTTAGTACTAACCGTTCTAAACGACGTTTACTATATGAGCGACTTATGGATGGATGAATAGTTGAATCGGATACTGAATGTTCTCTGGGAACGGTTAAATCGAGTGAACGAGCTTTTATATTTAACGGTGAAAATGTTACTGTCGGCTCATTGGTAAAACTACTGATATTAGCATGACTCGAGCTTAGTTCATGACGCTGTTGTTGAGATGTAGAAGTTTTTTGTGATGATGATATTTGCAACAATACATCACGTTCATCTCGACATACACTGTAATTTATATCATCACTACGACATTTAGTAAACGTATCTTTACGTTGTGCACGATCTTCTAACTGTTCGAGATATCGACGTTGTAAATAATCTTTCACTTTTCCTTTAAAACCCTAAATATAAAAGATTAACTCTAAACTATTTATATCACTTATTAAGAAATAAAGTTCATAGTAAAAAATAATGTGTCGCATAAATATGTCGCAGATCTTTGAGCAAAATGTGTCGTAAACGAATGTGTTGTGATCGAGGTGTCGGAGTTTCTAAAGTTCTAGAGATATAGTTTTAGCACATATGTTAGGTCCTAGGAAGGAAACCACGCCGCTCCTTAACATTCTGCGTTTGATATTCTTTGCCATCTCTTGATCTTGAATCAGCAGTAGATTTCGCTAATAAAAGAAAAATGTAACTCATTTCTTTGATTTAGCGGTTTTCTAAGACTTGAAACCTTCCTTTGAGGCAAGTGGCACTTAAGTGTTCGTACTTTGTGATCATCGTCTAAGTTCATGCAGTTTGACCTAGTCTTTATAACCAATGCGGTCCTTACCCAGGTCAAAGAATCTTGCTGTAAGATCTTATAAGACTCTTGTACGATTCCGTCTGATTTCGTAAGATTCGTATAAGAATTTTTAAAATTCTGGAAAGATAGAAACTGATTCTCGATGTAAGATCTTATAGTAAGGTTTCATCAGATTTCGTAAGATTCTTGTATGATTTTTATAAGATGAATTCATTTCTATGATTTTCCGTAAGATTTTGTAAGATCGTCTAAGATCTTTATCTGATTCTTTGACCTGGGTAGTTATGCTCCCAAAATTATAGTTTTAATTGCTAAACTCCTTTGAGCCCATTGGATATCATAGATAGATTCGTCGCATCGACATTACGTAGAGTGGCCGAAACAAGCTACAGTTATTTCAAGAATACTTAGGGCTGACCAAAAGTTCTGGCAATAAAGATAAGAAGATATTTTTAATTTAATTTTATCAAATGTTCAGGATAATTGCCATGATTATTTATATCAAGTTTAATCCTTTCTAACAATTTATTAAAAGTTTTTCTGAACTCTTTTTCCAAAAAATGTTTATCTGCCTTGGAAACCACATGAGTACATCACATTTCATTTATGTAATTAGTTAAACTTCGTTCGATAGAATTATTTAACCAAATATTATGTAGTGTTAGGTATGATCAATATGGCGGATGCGACGTTATATTGATGCCTTCTTCTGTCAAATAATAAATAACATCGGATGAGATGAAGTCAGCGATGACCGTCAAGCAATTTTGTACATTTTGAATCTGACGTCTCTGTTTGTTTTCGTATTCCATTAACAAAAGGCTTCAGACAATTTTCAATATAATACTTGTGACCTACGGTCCTGCCTTTATCTACACTCAAGACTATTTGATTTAATGAATATATGTAACAAAGGTTTGCTTCAAATCTGTCTCCATGAACAATAGTCTTTAACGATTCATCTTCAATAGGCCAGCTAGCATCAGATGACTTATGACTAACCTATCTAAAATGAATCCATATCTTATCACTAGTAGTGCTAGAACGCAACTGACATGATCGAACAAAAGTTCGCTAAATTTTAAAACAAATGAAATGTGATGTGCTCATGTGGTTTCCAATGTAGCTAAACATTTGTTAGAAAAAGAGTTCAGAAAAACTTTTAATAAATTGTTAGAAAGGATTAAACTTGATATTAATAATCATGGCAACTATCCTGAACATTTGATAAAATTAAATTAAAAATATCTCCTTATCTTTGTATTTTTATTTAATGTTGGCAGAACTTTTGGTCAGCTCTAAGCAGAATAAGAGACGAAAAATATTAAATTTTCACTGTTTTCTATACGGTTAAAAGAATGTGTCGTAGATGTCGTCGAGAATGTGTCGCAGTCTCAATGGAAAAAATGCGTCGCTACTGGCATCCAGTGTCGTAACCTAATATGTCGCGCTTTGAGACACATTATTTTTTAGTGTATTACATATTTACCTGCGAGTTAATAGATCGATTTTGTTTGTCTGAATAGTCAGATAGATTCGATGAATAACCGCCAAAACTTGAATGACGGTCAACATTGAATACGTCACTTTCAAATGAAGATTTTGGTGATGAATTATTTGACGATCTATGATGTAAATCCGGTACGCGTAAACTATCTGTGGATGTTTGCTGATTAGTAGCTAAATAAGAACGACTTGGTGAACCACCGAATGAATTTGGTGTAGATGATTGTTCACGACTACCACGATTATTATTATTGTATTCTAATATTTTGGTGTTTGGAAAAAATTGTCTTAATAAATCAATGATTTGTTCTAATTCTGTGGCATCACCAGTTTCAATAACAGCATAACTTTTTGGTGATAAATCGAATGAATCACCACCACCTCCGCCAATAAATGATGACGAGGCTGTATCAGACCGCGGTGTCAATGGTGGTATTGAACTAGGTGATAGCTGTTGAATAACAAAATCCGTTGTTGTTGTGATGGTTGTTTCATGACATAATGTATGATCATTTTCGTTTATTTCGTTTGTTTTTTCATCTGTTGTTGTTAATATTGGTTGATTAGAATTGACTGGTGAACTTTTTGTTGTTATTGAGGAAGAATTCATAACAAATATGTCAACTTTTGAAAATTTTGAGTATATAATGCACATACTCGGTTAAATTTAATATATAGAACCAATCTGTTGCTGGAACTGGCTCACTAATTCAATACGCTCATAATAACAAATATAGACAATAAACTCTGTTTTCTGCTGAGACAAACTCTTGTCATGTCTGATAAAAATCTTCTAAAAATGAAACACAGTTAACGTACCCTATACTTAGAAAAAAAGGAAACATGTTTGATTTTGAGCACAAGTGAACATACTTGACTTTGTTATTAAGTAGTACATATGAACTTTTTCTTCTGTACTAGTATTATCGTTGTTGTTGAAAAATAGATTTTCACTTTCCTTTTCTTTTTTAATTGTCTGTTGATGTCCTCAAGAAGATTTTTATTCTTATCTAAATAGAATATCGTGAGCGCAGGTTGATGAGAAATATAGTAGTGAAAAAGAAATTAAAAGTAGATATAAGAAAGGGAACAAAAAATTCTTTTTACTCTCACGCACAAACATTGTAGATATACGTCTTGTCAGATGAATATATGAAAAAGAGGGAAAGGATGAACACACACACACACACACACACACACACACACACACTTGTTTAATATTGTTGTTACAGATCTATTTTTCATTATAGAAAATCTTTTTTAAAGAATAGAGTTCTACGTATGCGTGTGTTTAAAAAGATCAATTTCCCTTTGAATTATCAAATGATGCCATTATGCTCACAACTATCCAACAGACGACATTCCTTAACATTTATCATAAACTAGCCATCCGCTATACTTTAGTTGAAATGTTGAAAATAAAACAAAAATTAACGTAGCTCATAGTCGCTCGTGCAGAAGATTTTCTTATCGAGACATAGACAACAGCTGTAATGCAGCAAAATATATTCTTTTCGCTATATATATAGTCAATTGATGTCGGTATCTACTGCTTAAAATAAAAGCGTAGAGGTTAAAATTAATGACCTGTGAAGAACAGATCATTTATTTGTAAACAATGTGAATACAGTTAATCCTACATTGAATAGATAAGAAATAAGGGAGTTAATTATCGATGTCACAGCTCTTTGGAAGACTTGTTCTGCTCAATATATCCAAAATGATTTCCTAACAGGTTTTTTGTCATTTCTACGCCATACTGCTTTGACGTATGTTATCTTTTGACGTTAACGCGTTTGCGTTTTTCTAGTGTCAGGACCGATGGCAATAACTAAAAGCGGCTTCTTTTCATATCCGTTTACGTCATTCCTGTTCTACATTGACATTTAAGGATTCTGTACTTAAAAAAATCGTTTTTTTCTATTAAAGCTCGACTTTTGAGGCACATTTTTTGGTCTCACTAATATATAGCCTGAAGTGTTTACTCTCAAAAGTATATAATTCGATGCCAAAAAATAGTCTTTAATGGATTTCTGTCACTTCTTTGAGAAATCCCATGTGAGACCCAGAAGCTGATTCATGTTTTACTTAAGAGGTATGGTTTCGACGTTGTTAGATGTCATTTTCTCACCAATGGTCCAGTATACTAATAAGTTTTTTATTTAAAAACTTAGATAAAAGTGCATAGAATCAACCAGCCTGATTTTTAAAATTTGTTTTTGTTTACGAGGTACAAAACGATCATTAGAAGTCCAGAATGGATCTTCTCGAAGCCTTAATTTAAATTACTTACCATAACTAAACAGAGAAAAATTCAACAATCAGTGTCATTTCTGAGACGTATACATCTAATTGATTTAACTACGATCATTCCAACTATTGTCAAGCATATGGTATTGTACGAGCAATCTCATTTTATATCTTATCTACTGGCAACTTCTAAATAATTCGATATTTTGGTTTCAATTTTTTATCATAACTTTGCTACATGATAGACTTTAATACCTGAAGTTCAGTTTGAATCGACTGCGCAATGCAGAAAAATATAGGTGTAAGAAAAGATCTTTCAGTTCGAGATATCTGCTTTCGATGACTACTTCTTTATTTTGCTTTTCACGTAATTCTACCGTTTATTTCTCGCATGAACATTATATCTATTGAGCAAAAAAAAGGTAATCATAACTATTCTATTTCATGCATTGCAATTTTCATGTTTCTTCGATATGTATTATTCACATAAGTACTGGATGTGTTCTTCTTGTCTCACTCACTTTGAAACTGTAATAAATATTTAGTTTTATATATTTAGCTGAAATTGCATAACATAATAGACTTGACTATAGGTTGTTTTTTTCTGTTCTTGCCCTAGATTGTATTAGACTATCTCATCCTTCATACGAACATCGTGTTTTTTTCTAAAGAAAATTTCCTGACATGAAAGAAAAAAGGAAAAAAAGACGATAACTATAATAAATTGGAAACCGTCAAACGTAGTACGAACTATAGTTCTTTGAATAAAAGGCATTTATCATAGCGTAAATAAAATTCTACACCTATGTGTAACATTACAGCAGGCGTAAATGTCTGATGGTGGTGAACTCCTTCATCATTTACAAAACAATGCAAAGACACATTTATGTAATGAATTGTGTTTTACGATAACTGTCCTCTATCATCACAACTACGATCAAAGCTTTATAATTGCTAATTTTAAAACTAAAATCTCACTGAAGATGGCTAAAGAAGAAAAATTTTGATGAATTTTTGCAAAAAACACAGGTCAGGAAGTTAAATATTGATTAGCTGAAATATTCAAGAAACCGAAAACTTGAGAAGGAGAATAAAACGGTGAACGTTGAGTTTGTGTAATTCGGTAAGAAGAGATGACTAAAAATCGCAGTTTTATTACCGATACTAAACAGCGTCTACTGAGGGAACGACGAGTTATCACGTGATTTCTTTTTTTTAACTCGGATCAGATATTTTTTCTGTCGAACTTTGGTCTTCGGTTTCTTCCACCGTCTTTTTGAGTCTCATAGAACTAAAAGGGAATACTGTGACAGACTAAAAATCCACTAAATAGTACATTCCTATACTCAAATTTTAGTTTCGCATATATTTGCGAAGTATATCTAATGATTTTTACGGTTTTGATACTGAAATATATATTTGAACAAAATGTGTGTCTAGAATATCCTGCCTCATTGAGATGCGTAGTCCGAGATGTTGTGAGTCATTTTTAAGCAAAGTTCCCACAATACTGTACAATATTGTGGGATATTGCGAGGTTATACTTTATTTTATTCTTTCTAGCATCATACCCGCAATTATTTTTTACAGTAATAAGTTTTAACTGTGAAAGACAAAAAAAGAAAACGGAAAAAGATATCAAAAACATCTAGAGTAATTATGTCAAAGTGTTTCATCCACTTTTTTATAACGTAGGCACTTGATTCAACTCAACCATGATCGAGGTATTTTATTTATCAAAATTAATGTGCAGAACGAAGATAAACATATGTGCGTATTTAACGAAAGAATATCTTTCTTTGACATCGCGAGTATATTGGTTATTAAAATAAGAAATTTAACATAGTGGTTTCACTTTCTTAGCTCATGTTAATTGTAGCAAACGCTCGAAACGCTATAACTCTTTATAATATATAATTTTAGTATTTTATAAGAGCTTTTGGTCATTATATGTCGTTACAAAACTTTATTTCATTCTGATTGTTTTCCGAATAAATGATGAATCAAAAACAACACTCTTTTATTATACCATTTTGACGAGCAGTCAATGATGGATTTTTCTCATTATCAGATGGCATTTCCATGGTTATAACGTGAACTACTTTTTTAAAGAATTTCTACATCTAAATGTCTTATGTTATAGAACATTTATAAGAGAGAAAAATTAACACTCTAGATCTATTCCATTGAGTTCTACAAAATTAGGCTGTGACTGACTATTGACTTGTAATGAAATTGGTTAAGAGAAGCTCAGTCAATAATGGGCATAAAGTTAATAATGCGTTGCTTAGAATAGTCCAAAAGAGTGTATCTTTTATGTATTTTATTCATTCTTTTGATTGACATGTAAACTATATCGATAAACAGAAATGCTGCCAATAAGTAAACACCAGGTAGACAAGGGTATAAACTTTGATATACCAAAGTTTGAGCAATTCTATTTGCTAAATCTGAAAGCATACATTTACAAAGTGAGTGAAAGTCTCACAAAAAAAATTGGGCAATAAAATTATGAAAATTCATTAACTTGTTAAAAAACATAAAAGAATGACGAGAAAATAGAATTGTTCAAGTACTACCTTTATGTTTGATATAATGCATTTAAATGATATGTTAGTTTTTCAAAATTCACTATTAAATAATTGATTTTTATTTTTTAATATGAATAATTATGACATGTCAATCAAACACGTTCCCCCATCATTTTACGAACGAACGTGAATACAAAAACAAAGCGCGAGCATATCTTACTCAATATAAATATAGTACACAGTGAAACGAAGAACGGAAGAAAAAGAAGATGACGATCAATATAAATGCGTGCTACCATCATCAAGGTTAAGTACTTTCCGCTGTTTTTTGGCCCAAAAAAATAATTTTTGTTTCTTCCACAACAACAAAAAAAAATTTAAGAGAAGAAAAAAATGGCGGATATCATTGTATCGGGTAAAAGTTTTACTATACCCGAAGACTACGTATATATGAATAATCATCATATCTGGAGAAGAAAATGTTAAGGAGAGCAAAGTGTTTGTGTGACGCCATTCTCCTAAAAATGGATTTTCTTTTTTTCTGTTTTGACGGGTGTCAATAGAACAATAGAAGAAAACATTCTTCAATTATAAACTGATCTATTCTACGAACAGACACCACGCCTTTATACCTCTTGCTAACTGATGGGGTATGATGTCTATGAATGCATATGTCTTGAGGATGGTTGGTAGAAAAAGAAAAAAATACGCCCTCGAACTTTTTATACAAAACAAAGCCTCGATGCAAAGGAAAGGAGCAATAAGTAATATAAGGAAAGAGGAGTGTGTTGTGGAGGAGTACATATTTAGATACAAAATGTCTGATTTTCTCTCTTATCTTTTCGTGTCTAACATATATATGAGGGTCGACTACTATGCACTTACATCCTTTCGGGAGAAGGATGTGATTATCAGTCAATATTTAAACTCAATCAAAGAAAAAGAAAAGTCAACGAAATATCGATAAAACAACGTTTATCTTCTTAGTTGATTGATAATCATTTTTTCTGGTTATTTTTGCTTACACTTCTGGAGTTTAAAACAAATTTAGAGTATTATATTCGCGAATGTGACAATATATTATTCTAAAAATATTGTATAAAGAAAACAAAAGTCAGATATCCATTTATCGCCCCCATAGCAGATGATAGGCTATTTGCTTTATCGAAGTTCAATTTTTCAGTTATTGTTACAGGTGACATGCATACAACGGTTTTACATACGTCTTTTTATGCCAATCATTTTCTGCTAGTACATTTATTCTTAAGAGAAGACCAATTATGAAAAGAGTACGAGAATACGAAAATAACTGATGATCACGAGCTTTTTAGAACAAATTCTTTAACTTCTTTTTCGGACAAACAACAACTATTTTCTGGTACTTTAGAAACTCGTCAATTAATCCTGAGGCTCTGAAACTAAAAAATGCGTACTGTTTTCTTATATGCTTCAATGGTTCAGATCTTAAGTATTTTTACTCACTATTATTTTGTGTACTTATGCCTGAGTATATTCACTAGAATTTTGTTAATATTTCACAGTTAGCAAGTTTAAAGGTTTATCCTAAAGTCTAAATTTTCATTTTAATACAATAAATAATTGAGATATTTTCCAGAATACTGAACTATACTGACTAGATATTCAAATCATTTTTTTCCACGTTTTTTCTCGATACTAGTGTTCGCTCTATGCAAGTGTATTACTTTAAAAAGAAGAATATCATTATATTGCGTTGATAGATAAAAAATGCCTAAAATATTTCTTATAATAATCCAATAAAGTACTAACTATACATGAAGAATCGTGCTCATAAATAATGGCAAATGATCCGAAAACATTGTGATATTTGTTCCTCTATAAGGCGTTATAATCTCCAAACCGTACATAAACTGTTCAACTATCCATTCGTACCGTTTATCAATTAAAATATAGTCAATTTTATCTGTCAACGGTTCTCGGCATTCGGACCACGTTGGTAATTCAATTTTTGGATCATTAGGAGAACCACCAGTCGTAAATATATCTTTTAGAATATTCATCGTTTCGGATGTTGAATTATCATTAAAATCACCTAAAAATGTCACTGGAACATGTTGTTTCTGTTTCGCCCAATCGACAAGTACACGAGCCTGACGAGTTCGAACGCGATTGTTCGTATCATGATCAAGATGAATTGCACAAGTATAAAACATCACATTGTTTTTATCGAATAAAACACACGGCGTATTCCGTGGCTCGAGACCCAGTGGTAGTGATACAACTTCTAAATTTAAATATTTTAATGAACGATTATTAAATAGAATGGCATTGCCATACTGCATTTGAACATCGCTATCAAATAATGATGGATGAAAGACGACAGACATATTGAGAAGATTAGCGAGATACGTTGCGCTTGATATTTCTTGTTCATTAATCGAATTTTTAATTGTCATGAAATTTTCTTGAATTTCTTGTAAAGCCAAAACATCTGGTTGAAATTGAGCAATTATTTTTGCAATTGTTACTAAATTTGCATTCATAAATTCGCTACGTGTTGTAATTAATTGCCCTCGAGTAAAAAGCGGATTCATTTTCAGAATATCTTGATAACATGTGTAACGCCCACGCATTATATTGTATGTCATTAATCGAAGGGATGTAGAGCGTGGTAACGATGACGGCAGTAATAATGGAGACATTTGGGAAAATATAGTTGAAATAATAGACCAATAAAAAACTAGCATAAAATTGGGCGTATTCTTGTACATTATTGACTAAAAATGAAAAATTATCAATTACAACTGCGCTTTTAGCTGTTTTTACGTATTTTTTTGTCACATCAATACTGTAGAAAAATCTAAATGTTATAGTCAGGTAAGCTTGATAAATGTTCGAGTAAAATTTCAGTGGATTTTTATCGCAGACAGAAGTTCATATTTTTATATGAGGGAGGTGTGATGGTGCTAATTTGAATGTTGTAGATGTTATGGTAGTGAACGGCAATTTAGACTTTTAGACTTTCTTCCAGAAAAAGTCGGACTACCCGCAGGGGGCGAGGTTAGCAGTATGAGAGTGAGTCACTATACAAAAAGCTCAACTTGAGCAACGGCAGTGGATGTTACAGGATAGTTAGCAGATTCTAAAAGTCTAAAAGTTCTATATCGTTGATCACTACCATAAGGTCTACAACATGCAAAAGTGCTCAACTTGAACTTCTTGTATGGTGACTTACCATCATACTGCCGCCCTCCGCCTCCTCCAGCTAGTCCGACTTTTACTAGAAGAAAGTCTAAAAGTCTACAAAGTCTAAATCGCCGTTCACCACCATAACATCTACAACATCCAAAATTAGCACCGCTACACCTTGATGCTGTCACAAAATAGAACACAGAAATTAACGTGGAGAGAAATAGAAATGAAATATTTAGATACATTAGGGAAAACATAACAACATTGACCCTTAAATCTTTAGATGTTCTTTAAAGACCTTTGTAAACTATTTAATTGAAACTTTGCGATGACTAGACGTGTGAATAAATTCCATTCTCGCAGGATTTTACTGAACAATGTGGATATTATTCCATCTTTTAACTGCCAACGACAACGATTATCGCTTCTTTTGGCTTTCCAAGTACTTAAAGGTTGCTTCACGTCAAAAAGAGCGCCAGAGATGCTTTAAACCCGATGTACTTAGCGTCGGACTCGTACACACTAAAACAATAATTGATTACTGGCTAAATGCAAGTACGATAATATAGTGTCGTAAGGAACATGGCGCTGTTACAAACATTCTTCTCAGGACACAATCGAATTCAGCAGGCTGATAACGTTATTATAAATAAAGATATTTGTTTTAATAAACTGAATTAGTGTAAATAAATAACCAGTCCTTCTGGTAAATCAATTATTATTACATATCTTTTCCTTTTCACATAAGATCTATATGTATTCTTAATTTCATGTTTATTTGTTTAGTTTTGCTTGGGAATTTTTTGAAAAATATAAAGCATATGCAAATTGTTCCTGAAACTGTTCAAGTACTCTACGAAGTAATTATTTACTTTGCATAAGCGTATATTTTGTTCAACTTACTTGCATGCGTTAATCAATTGAATATTCCGTACACATGCGTTAAAAGTCTATAGTACAAATGTACTTTAAATCAACAATCATTCAAATGTAAATTTAGTATCTGCTTTTGTAAATGCATATATTCCATCTTTATCATAAGTGTCGAGTCTTTATTCGTCATATCTTTTCCTTTTATTTGTTAACTAAATTTAACAAAATTACTTTCATAATTACTTGATAAAAGAAATCGACTGTCTGACAATCTTTTTGATCATAGAATTGAGAACAATAAAATAACAACTCTGATTACACCAATTTAAATCAATAGAAATGAACAATTTATTTTGATTCATTATACTTTTCCGTATTTTTTAATAGCAGCGCTTTCTGAGATTTCAAAACTCACCAGAATAATTAAGATCAGCGTTTTGAACTTTTTACAGTATTTTGCATAGAGTTCAGCTATTTTTGACCGAAGAAATACAATATTGGAAGCAGACAGACATGACTACTCTTTCTCTGAACATATCCTCTCGTTCCTAATAAGTCTGTTCACTGCAACAACAAAGGCTTATTGATTTTCAAAAGCTCAGTTTCTATGGAAGCATAAGCGCTCGACAAATTGGTGATCTGCATACTTGCCGCTTTTTTATACAATTCGGAGTGTTATATCATTCTTTAGAGGAAAAAATCTTCTCTGATACTAGTGCAGTCATACTGCAGTGTTAATCACGATTAAGCTGGTCGGAATTAACCTTATTTATGCTGAACAAATTCCCATCATTATCAAATTTTTGAATATCTATTTCAGAAAAACTCTTTGTTTCTCCGACGTTGCTAAACAGTTCTTTCGGATTTTGCCCAACAATTCAACAATGGGAAAAAAGAACATATCGTGGCTTGGAGTACGCTGCTATATAGAACAGATGAGATAAGTATGAAATGAGTAGCGATGGGATTACATCAGTTTATACTAGCCTGAGAGTATGCACATCAGATCTGTCAAACATGCATATTTGAGTTTAGTTAAACTCTTATTAGAATACTCAAGAACGCATTTGCCTGGAAAAACGATGACAAATTAAAGATAACGTCTAAGACGATTCATACAAAAAGTAAATACATAATATTATTATATTTCCATTTATATTTGAAGTCCTAGATCTAAAAGAACAGACTAAAAGGATTTGTTACTTAACTAGAGAAAATTCCGTACACAGCTGAGGGAGCGGATATGTTTTGTTTGTAATTTCAACTTGAATTAATTAATTACTGATAATCTGCTGAGTTAACAAATTATTTTGGTGATTTATTAAAAATGCACCAGTATTTTTCATAAAAAGTTTATCTAACTGTATATACTTTTCTACATCTCGACAGCAAACTGTATTGTTTTACTTTTTTTGTTTGATTACTTATTTTTCATCAATTGTTCAAGCGGATAATGTATGGCATCCATCCTGCATACTAATTCGTCTTTTATATCCTTAAAAGATATAGACTATTGAATGAGGTCTAAAAAAGACTATGCAACACGTTGTGATAACAAAGAATGTCAATTGAAAATTTGTAAAAGCTGGTATAGCTTGATTATTGCAGATTCATTGAGAAAAAAGTATTTTAATTAAATGGTGGTGTTTTCATTGGTCTTTGCATAAATATTCTCATTCATTTCAATCTGTTTTTTGATTGTTATTTGAGATGTTTCCTGAAACTCATTCCTTATTTTTGATTTTTTCTTCAAAATATGATTTTTATACTTTTCCAGACGTTTCAAGTTTTGAAGGTTTTTGTACTATCGCAAGTATCTGCCCAAGAACTGCATTACTATCACAAGCCAAATAAAGTGTCTGTTGTTTTTAAGTGTTCAACAACGAAAAGATTTTAGTCGATAAAAAGTGGATATATAAAGTAAATGTATTCTGAAAGTCAGTAACCGCAAAGCTATCAAATCAAGAGAACACAAGTACGTGTAATCACCTTCGGCATGCTTAGAAGAAAGATAGCTCATGAACAGGCGCTTGATTCAAACAACTAACAGTTACGAAAGTTAAGCACTTGTGCATGAGTAAAACTACTATTTCTAACTTTTGAAGATCTTACTACATCGAGTGATGTGCTGGAAGGAAAAAGTTTGCCTGTTCAAAGTATTGAACAGGCCACACAAATTATATATAATGTCATGTACTTGGACGTCATTATTACCGACAAAGTTATATGATATTTAAAAAATGTAGACTATTGAGTACAATGAGATCTACAAAGACTAGTAAGTAAAAAATGATCATAACATTTTCTTTCTTGAAACATGTCGTAATGACAAAAAATGATATCACTGGAACACTTGTCGCACGCGATAAAGCATGAACATTATGAGCGGGAACATTTTACTAAAGATATATCTGATGACGATGATGTTTATTGCGTTTCGTATCAATACAAAAACAT